ATCATATTAACAGTAGATTTCTCAGCAGAAACCCTACAACCCAGAAGACATTGGGGTCCTATCTTTAGCCTCCTTCAGCAAAACAATGATCAGCCAAGAATTTTGTATCCAGCAATGCTAAGCTTCATAAATGAAGGAAGGATAGAGTCTTTTCCAGACAAACAAATGCTGAGAGAATTTGCTACTACCAACTAGCACTACAAGAACTGATAAAATGAGCTCTAAATCTTGAAACAAATCCTCAACATGCAGCAAAATAGAACCTTAAAGTATAAATCTCACAGTACCTATATAACAACAACACAATTTTTAAAAAAAGGTATTCAGGCAACAAATAACACAATGAATAGAATAGTACTCTTTGTATCCCAATACTAACATTGAATTTAAATGGCCTAAATGTTCCACTTAAAAGTTATAAAATTGCAGAAAACATATTTGGGAAACATATTTAAGGGAATAATTGAGGAAAACTTCCCTGACCTTGCTAGAAATTTAGACATCCAAATACAAGAAGCTCAAAGAGCATCTGAGAAATTCATTGGTTGGAGAAAAATCCACCAACCAAGTTTCTGCTGTCTTCAGGAGACTCACCTAACACATAAAGACTCACATAAACTTAAGATAAAGGGGTGGAAAAAGATATTCCATGTGAACAGGCACCAAAAGTGAGCAGGAGTAGCTATTCTCTATCAGACAAAACAAACTGGAAAGCAATAGCAATTTAAAAAGACAAAGAGGGACACTGTATAATGATAAAAAGACTAGTTCAACAGGAAAATATCACAATTCTAAATGTATATTCACCAACACTGGAACTCCCAAATTTATACAAAATTACTACTAAACCTAGAAAATGAGATAGATGGCAACACAATATTAGTGGGGGACTTTAATACTCCAGTGATAGCGCTGGACAGGTAATCAAAACAGAAAGTCAACAAAGAAATAATGAACTTCAACTGTCCCCTACAACAAATGGACTTAACAGACATTTACAGAACCTTCCACCCAACAACTGCGGAATGTACATTCTATTACATCAGCACATGCAAGAGTCTCCAAAATAGACCATACGATAGGTCATAAAACAAGTCTCAGTAGATTCAAGAAAATCAAAATTATATCAAGTACTCTCTTAGGCTACAGTGGAATACAATTGGAAATCAACTCCAAAAGGAACCCTCAAAACCATGCAAATACATGGAAATTAAATAACCTGTTCCTGAATGATCATTGGGTCAACAGTGAAGGCACGATGGAAAATTTAAAATTCTTTGAACTGAACAATAATAGTGACACCTATCAAAACCTCTGGGATACAGCAAAAGCAGTGCTAAGGTGAAAGTTCATAGCATTAAATGCCTACATCAAAAAGTCAGAAAGAGCACAAATACACAATCTAAGGTCACACCTCATGGAACTGAAGAAACAAGAACAATCCAAACCCAAACTCAGCAGAAGAAAAGAAATAACAAAGATCAGACCAAAACTAAATGAAATGGAAACAAACAAACAAATAATGACAAAAGATAAATGAAACAAAAAGCTGGTTCTTTGTAAAGATAAATAAAATTGATAGATCATTAGCGAGATTAACCAAGAGAAAAGATCCAAATAAGCTCAATCAAATGAAATGGGAGATATTATAACCGATACCACAGAAATACAAAAGATTATTCAAGGCTACTATGAACACCTTTATGTGCATAAACTAGAAAACCTAGAGGAGATGGATAGATTCCTGGAAATATACAACCCTCCTAGATTAAACTAGAAAGATATAGAATCTCTGAACAGACCAATAACAAGCAGTGAGATTGAAATGGTAATTTGAAAACTGCCAACAAGGCCAGGCATGGTGGCTCACACCTGTAATCCCAGCATGTTGGGAAGCTGAGGCAGGTGGATCACCTAAAGTCAGGAGTTTGAGACCAGCCCAGCCAACATGGTGAAACTCTGTCTCTACTAAAAATACAAAAAATTAGCTGGGAATGGTGGCGGGCACCTGTAATCCTAGCTACCCAGGAGGCTGAGGCAGAAGAATTGCTTGAACCCAGGAGGCGGAGGTTGCAGTGAGCCAAGATGACATCATTGCACTCCAGCCTGGGCAACAAAAGCGAAATTCCATCTCAAAAAAAAAAGGTCAACAAAAAAAAAGTCCAGGACCAGACGAATTTGCAGCTGAATTATATCAGACATTCAAAGAAATATTGGGACCAATCCTACTGACACTATTCCAAAAGATGGAGAAAGAGGGAATTCCTGCCTAAATCATTCTATGAAGCCAGTATCAGCCTAATATCACAACCAGGGCAAGACATGACAACAGCAACAAAAAGGAAATGACAGACCAATATCCCTGATGAACACAGATGCAAAAATCCTCAAGAAAATACTAGCAAACCAAATCCAATAGCATATCAAAAAGATAATCCACTATGATCAAGTGGGTTTCATATCAGGGATGCAGGGATACAGTCAATAAATGTGATAGAGCACATAAACAGAATTTTTTTTAAAAAAATCACATGATCATCTCAATAGATGCAGAAAAAGCATTTGACAAAATCCAACATCTCTTTATGATTAAAACCCTCAGTGAAATCAGCATTTATTAAGGTAATAAAAGCCATCCACGACAAACCCACAGCCAACATTATCCTGAATGGGCAAAAGTTGCAAGCATACCCTCTGAGAACTGGAACAAGACAAGGAAGCCCATTTCACCACTCTACTCAACATAGTACTGGAAGTCCTAACCAGAGCAATCAGACAAAAGGAAGAAATAAAGGGTATCCAAATTGGTAAAGAGGAAGTCAAACTGTCCCTGATTGCTGATGATACGACTGAATACCAGAAAATCCTAAAGACTTATCCATAAAGCTCCTAGAGCTGGTAATAAATTCAGCAAAGTTTCCGGATACAAAATTAATGCACACAAATCAGTAGCTCTGCTATACACCAACAGTGACCAAGCTGAGAATCAAATTAAGAACTCAGCCCCCTTTCACAATAGCTGCAAATAAAATAAAATAATATTTGGAAATATACCTAACCAAGGACATGAAAGACCTCTACAAGGAAAACTACAAAACACGCCTGAAAGAAATCATAGATGACACAAACAAATGGAAATACATCCCATGCTCATGGATAGGTAGATTCGATATTGTAAAAATTACCATCCTGCCAAAAGCAATATACAAATTCAATGCAATTCCCATCAAAATACTATCATCATTCTTCACAGAACTAGAAAAAACAATCCTAATAGTCATATGGAACCAAAAAGAGCCACATAGCCAAGACTAATTATAAAGAACAAATCTGGAGGCATCACATTACCCAACTTCATACTATACTATAAGACCATAGTCACCAAAAAGAGTATGGTATAAAAATAGGCACATAGACCAATGAAACAGAAGAGAGAACCCAGAAAAAAAGCCAAATACTTACAGGCAACTAATCTTTGACAAAGCAAATGAAAAAGAAGCGAGGAATGGACACCCTATTCAACAAATAGTGCTGGGATAATTGGTGAGCCACATGTAGAAGAATGAAACTGGATTCTTATCTCTCACCTTATAAAAACTCAACTCGAGATGCATCAAAGACTTGAGTCTAAGACCTGAAACCACAAATATTCTAGAAGATGACATCAGAAAAACCTTCTAGACGTTGGCTTAGGCAAAGACTTCATAAACAAGAACCTAAAAGCAAAGGCAACAAAAAGATAAATGGATGGGACTTAATTAAAAAAGCTTCTGCACAACAAAAGAAATCATCAGCAGAATTAACAGACAACCTACAGGGGGGGAGAAAATCTTCACAATCTATACATCAGACAAAGGACTAATATCCAAAAGCTACAAAGAACTCAAATAAATCAGCAAGACAAAACAACACCATCAAAAAATGGGCTAAGGACATGAATAGACAATTCCCAAAAGAAGATATACAAATGGCCAACAAGCATATGGAAAAATGCTCAACATCACTAATGATCAGGGAAACGCAAATCAAAACCGCAGTGCGATACCACCTCACTTCTGCAAGAATGGCCATAATAAACAAATTAAAAAATAATAGATGTTGGCATGGATACCATGAAAAGGGAACACTTTTACACTGTTGGTGGGAATATAAACTAGTACAACCACTATGGAAAACAGTGTGGAGAGTCCTTAAAGATCTAAAAGTAGATCTACCATTTGATTCAGCCATCCCACAACTAGGTATCTACCCAGAGGAAAAGAAGTCATTATACAAAAAGGATACTTGCATACACATGTTTATAGCAGCACAATGTGCAATTGCAAAAATATGCAACCAGTCCAAATGCCCATCAAACAATGAGATAAAGAAAGTGTGGTATATTGCGTTCTCACTCATAAGTGGGAGTCTAACAATGAGAATGCACAGACACAGGGAGGGGAACATCACACACCGGGGCCTATTGGTGGCTGGAGGAGGGATAGCATCAGGAGAAATACCTAATGTAAATGACGAGTTGATGGGTGCAGCAAACCAACATGTTACATGTATACCTATGTAACAAATCTGCAAGTTGTGCACATGTACCCTAGATCTTAAAGTATAACAAAAAAAAAAAAGAAAATGTGGGGTGTGTGTATATATATATATATATATACATATATATATGTATATGCCATAAAATACTACTCAGCCATGAAAAGGAAAGAAATAATGTCATTCACAGCAACCTGGGTGGAATTGGAGACTGTTATTCTAAGTGAAATAACTCAGGAATGGAAAATCAAGCCCTATATTCTCACTCATATGTGGGAGCTGGGCTATGAGGATGCAAAGGCATAGCAATGATACATTGGACTTTGAGGACTCAGGGGGAAAGGGTGGAGTTAAAAGACTACAAATTGGGTACACTGTACACTCTTCTGGTGATGGGTGCACCACAATTTCAGAAATCACCAATAAGAAACTTATTTATGTAACCAAATACTACCTGTTCCCTAAAAACCTATTGAAATTTTTTTTTTAAAAAAAGAAACAATACAGAGAAGATTAGCATGGCTCCTGTGCAAGGATGACATGCAAATTTGTGAAATGTTCCATTAAAATAAATAAATAAATAAAAATACGTATTTCCTCCCAGTCTATGCTGGCATTTTCACTTTTTTGATGGTGCCTTTTGATAAAGCTGCAAACAAAGTCTGAGAAGCTCTTGATAATCAAGAGTAAGATTAGGGAGCATATCTGGGAGGACATGGCAATATTTTAAGTGAAAGACATGATGATGTGTTGGAGGTAGTGAAAGCACTGTAAGGAACTGATCACATTTTGGTTATATTTTTGAAGAGAGAGTGTCCAGGATTTGGCTTTAGGGTGATAGAAAAAGTGAAAAGTCAAGAATGACTCCTACATGTTTTGGCTTTCGCAATTAATAATCTAAAGCTTCTCCTTTTGGAAACTGCTAGCAATTTCCCTTTAAAATGAGGCACTCACCAGTCTCCACTATTCCCTATTACTCCTGGAAAATAAGGTAAAATATCAGTTGCCATTTCTCATCATGTTTACACTACCTTTTTTTGCCCCTTTATCTAATAAGCTTCTCTCATTTACAATGCCAGCCTGACTCCTAGAGCCCTTTGATTTTACAACACTAGCTATAAAGTGCCCTAGATTTGGAGCTAAGAGGTAAAGTCTTCAGCTTCATCTGTGTGTGATATTGGGCAAATCACAATAATTTCTAAGACTCAGTTTTCCTATCAATTAGGGTCCTCTCTTGCAGGGTATGAAAAGAATGAAATTGAATAAATTGATATAAAATAATAAATATTTAGCCTGCCTTTCCTATATTGGAAAAATATCCATGATTTTACCGTTTGTTCTCATGGAGTCAAATACCCTGCTACCTCTTTTCAGAAATACATTCCTACTTGATCTTTATTTCTCCAGTCTCTCCTTCCAATGCAGTCACCACCAGATATTCTATCTAATAAATCTGTTTTGGTTTCACTTGTGCCAACACACTTTGCTGCCACCTTCGATTTGGCTCTGACCTGGCTTTGATTTGGTTCTGTTCCTCCATGGGGCAGCTTTAGTCTGTATTTATGTGCCAGAAATTAGGCATCTCCTTTACAAATGTCACTTCTTTACTAACTGCCCCTGCCACTGACAATGACCATTATCCTCTGATCTCTGGAAGCACTTACTGGTCTTGCGGAACTTTTAAATTGTTTTCTATTCTTCCAAAGTGCTAACTCATTGAGGGCAGAAGCCATCATGTATTTCTTTTCAACCTTCTCTCTCCTAAAGGTACTAAAATGCTAAACACAGAGTAGCCAATCAATATATATTAAACTGAATTCTGAAACCAATTCGCTACCTGCTTTTTCCTATGCCATAGAACTGAGTCTTCAATGCAAACTACAACGTTGGACACGGGCACATCCAAGTGGAAATACTGTCTCTGCCTCTCAGTTTTCTGTGAGACCATGGGCACAATGGCTCTCTGAGCTCCAATTTCTTGTAGGGATAAAAGAGCCTGTTGAAGATGGTTGTTTGGGGTATTAAAGTGAAGAGATAAAGTGCTTAGTATTGTTCCTGGCTCAGGTAAGTACTTAATAAATATCAAGTCCTTTTCCTAAACAAGTACAATTTATTTTTAGTAAATGTAGAATATTACACAACCATCACAACAGTCCAATTTTAGGACATTTTCATTGTTCTCCCCCCGCCCACACAAAAATGATTCCTCATAACCCTTTCTGATCAATTTTTGCTCCTACCCCCAGCGTCAGGCAAACACTAATCTATTTTTTGTCTCTACAGATTTGCCTATTCTGGATATTTTGTATAAAAAAACTTGGGTTATATGTGACTTTTTGCATCTGCCTTTTTTTTTTCATTTAGCATAATGTGTTTGAGGTCCATCCATATTGTAGCAGGTATTGTTAAGATGAGGAAAACACTTTTATTTATGCTTCTTTAAAAAAGGAAGAATAGTCATCTCCAAAGGTTTAGGAGAAAGTAGGCAATGTTGTTGGATTCACTTGGATGCATATCAAAGTTGATATGTGGTCAGATGTCATCTGTACAAAACACCTTTTGTTTTTTCTAGGAAGTGTCCTATGCATTTCAAATACATCTTGGCACACTTGTGTGTGATGGATTATTTCAAAATATTGTATTGTCCAATCACTGTGAATAGGTCGCACACTAAATATCATGAGAACAAAAGGCCTGAGGAAACCAGTTCCGGTAAATTAAGATCCATTTAGATGGTACTCCCCCTGAGCAACCTTCATTTGAACTTGACTAGAATAATTATAAGGTTTTGTTCAATTTCGGCCTCAGTTGTGCACATCTCACTAATAGTAGAAATGGCAAGAAATATTTTTCTCAGTCTATATTTTTTCTCATACACACATAATTTATGAAATAAGTCAAAGAAAATACACCTGCATTTTAATTATTGAACTTTACTAAGTATACTGTTTTCGACAAGGAAGATCTCTTTAAAGACAAACTTGATATGACATTGGAATGAAGTATTTGAGAGGCTCATTCAAGCCTCAAACTGGAAGCAGAAAAAAAAAATCAGAGTTCTGCTATTGAATACCATTTAATTTTGTAGAGAAAGAATTTCCGACATGGCACTGTGAAAGAGTTAACATGCTTCTGAAAGACTCAAGAATTTTCGGTTAAGGAGAAATGTATTGAATAGGAAAACTGTCCCTTAAATACTAACTATTTTCTCAGAAATATGTGGCAGCATAATGTTATCATTTTTAAACTGCTACCAGTGGCAATGTGGATATCGCTGTCATCTTTGAGATGTTTTGCAAATATTTCTTTCCCTGGCCAAGCCACAAATTCAATTTGTGCCCAGTTAAATCCTCATAAAATAGTGTCTTTGACAAATGATTGTTTTTTTCCTTCCCAACCCAGAGAAACACCAGACTGAGCTATTTTCACTTTTGGTGGGAAATGTTCCATTTAGACTGACGCACAATTACGTGGCAAATATCCTGAGGTTCTTTTCTTGTCATATGGCTGAACTTTAGAGTTGTGAAAGTGACCTGATAATTGTATAAAATACAGCTAATAATAGTATGTTAACATCTTTCACTTTATTCCAAGCATGCTACATCAATTGTCTCATTTATTTGTGTACAGCAAATATTTTGCATATAGGGAATAGCCAATTGCTATTGATATACAACGCTGAGTTAAGTAGGGGAACTGAGATTAAGGAAGGCTAAATAGTTTACCTATAATTAGTAAATGGCACCCTCATTCTTCACCATCTTTGATCATTTTATATTAGTCTCATATAATTAGACTTTGATCTACCTATTAAAAAATATTGAAAACATTGGTAAGTATGTTTTGGGGTTATACACAAAAATGAGTGTCCCTACTACCTAACATTTTCCCTGAAAAACCATCTACATTTTGTGAATATAAATGATATAGGAGATTAATTTTAAAGCTGTTGAATGTCCAATATATATTAATGTAGTAAAACTCGACTCATAAATATACTACTCTGTTTAGGTAAATACATACATACGTGCATAAAAAGATAGGAAGGAATCCTAGGCTATTAAAATCTTGGGCAGTCTTTAAGTGGTGAAGTTATAAAAGGTAAAATGCCTGTATTATATGTACCAGGGAATCAGAATAACTTTAAAAAGCAGTGTCCCCAACTTGTTACCATGGTAATAGAGATGAATCTCGATTGGGTGGTGAACAGCCATGGTATGGGATAAAAGAAGGAGAGTCCGATAAGGATGGATGGGCAGCAGATGTTCTTGACTCACTAACCCATTTTTTTAACCATGTCTCTTTTTACCCACAATCCATACTGTATATACCAACTATCTTAGCCTCGTTGTTGATCCCTATATATGTCAAAAATAATCCATGTAGCAATTTTTGGCAGCATTTATAGTGGCTACCACCATCTCCATATCCACGCTTTCCTCTTTAATCCATTTGAATGAGCTTCTGCATCTCCACTCCACCTCATGTGAGCTATCACTTTTTACCTCATAACAAGGAGAATAGAACTCAGTGAACCAAGAACATAATTTGAAAGAAGGGCCATTCTTAGTCTAGAAACAGGGTCAATGAACTGTTTCCATAAAGGTGTAGATGAACAAATATTTTCAAGTTTGTGAGGTCAAGCAGTCTCTCTCTCATCTACTCAACAACCATTGTAGTGCAAAAGCAGCCACTGACAATGCCTACCTTGTCAATGTAGTGCAGTGGTGTTCTAATAAAACTTTATTTATAAACGCTGGCAGTGGGCCAGATTTGGCCTGTGGGCACGTGGTTTGCCAACACCTGGTTTGGAATGATGGCTCCTCATAATTTTAGTGCTAGGCCCTTGGTGAAACCTTTTAGCCCTCCTTCATAGCCATGCAAATGCAGGGACTGTAAGCATCCCATGAACGAGGGCCTCATTGCAGCTGCAGAGTCTGGCCTCTCCTGAGTCTTGTTTTGGTATTGCGTCCTTGGATATTTTTGTCCAACAGTACCAGAAGATCAAATATCATCATTATTTTTAGCATTCTCTCTGAATATATTTTTTAAACTGTTTGGGAAAATGTTTCATCTCTAGCTAATAAATTCTGATGTCATGAAAAACAATTAGAGTAATGTTTTCCTCAACAGGGACTAATTGAGGTCATTTTCAGGGGGATATTGTCTTAGTCACATGGAGCAGCCAGCCAGTGTCAGACTTCACACACAGGTTTGTTTGCACAACGACATGTCTGTGGCTACTGGGTTTATGTTTTTAATAGTTGGGTGTACTCTGCCACACAATTTGGATTTTTAAAAATTAAAGGCTTGCATTTGGTAGTTTCAGAAGGTTTGTGTCATGGAAAGAGAGAATGAATGATTCAAATAGTAAACATATCCATCTTTTCAATAGGCTCTTATTTAGCATAGCATTTGAACACAGCCTTCTTGAAAGGAATAATGACGGTCTAAGCTTCCATATGCCTACGTGACCACATGGCAAAAAGATGGACAACAATGTATCCAAGGAATATATCAACAATTTTCAGCATGAGAATTGTTCAGGGAAGGGCTCTTGGCAGAGATCT